ATCAAAGCTTGGAAGTTGCATTCCAGTTCACTTGTTCCGTATTTGCTCTCGCAACCTAACTTTAGATGACGGTGTGGACCTTGGGCAAAATTGTCGAAAGCACCGGTTACGTCATGAAGCCGTTTCAGGAGTTCCCAGAGCTGCTGGGAATACTGTTGCGCTTTTTAAAGACGGAACAAATGCGCGAAATAAGGCGTGAGGTTCGCCCAGTCATTACGCGCGTTTTCTCCGTACTTTTAACACACTGCTTGTTCGTTAGACAATCAGAGTTCTGGGCTTTATTGGCGCATTGGATCCATACAAACAAAAGGTGTACAGCGGCGCAGTGGACACTGCTGCCAACAGTACTGGTTTGGCTCTATCGATGCCAGACGTAAAAGACATCAAGGACCCAAAGCAAGGTAGGGCGGCACACTACTGTAGCTATTTGATGACTACATCTCTTGTTTTCCGGCATCTGACTTCACTGATGTTTAGAAATCACGCAGTGGTTCCACTGGGAGCGTTGTTCGCTGGAAGAGTACTACCCGGCACTGGCGTTGGTGAATCTGATGAGTATCCTATCGGACGCATCACTCAGCCAACATCATACGATCGTTGTCAACGCGGCGCTTTTGATATTCAAGGCATTAAACTTGAAATGTCTGCCATTCATGGATCAAGTCATTCCAAACTTCATCAAGGTCATTCGTACTTCTGATCTGAACATGCGGATGGTGACTGTTATGGCTTGCCGTTTTCCCTAGCGTATAGCCGATTTTTTAGTTTCTGTTTCAACAACTCGGCGTCCTGACTTCTGTTGTCAAGCAACACATAAAGCCATATTTGAAGGAAATTTTTGATCTGATTAAGGTAACGACTACTTACGACAAGTTGTGGTTGCGGTGCTGGTTATTGATGATTGTAAGCAGATTAGTTACTTTTTCGTCGACAAGAATGAACAGCGGTATCATTTTTACGCATCGCACCTGCAGAGTGATGTGAAGCACGTGAAAAAGGAAGAAAGCAGTCATCGCAATGTCTCCTTTCCTCACACCTTCATGACTCGCGCCACTGGTAGCGCCATTCTCTTATGGAACTAATGATGCAGTGCAAATATACTTATTGACGCTGTCAGCCAGAACTGTTTTAATTTTGGAAGACATCAATATAGCTAGATAGCCGTTGTAGTGCGTACATTCTTTCCATGTGGTGATACCCATTTATCTACATCGGGTGGATGATTATGCGCTGTTTTTAGCCGGATTTTGAACGGAAATCTGTTGAGTGCGAACTCGCCATTGTTACAACGAATCCATCCCTAGAGAGGTAATTCAATGAGTGGTTAGCCGTATAAAACGTTGAGAAATGCCATCTGTGATAAGGACTCTGTCACGAAGTCCTACCTTTTACCGCTTCGTGACATTTTATGGATAACGCTAAACGCAAATGTGACCACAGCGATTTATTGGCGCTTAAACTGGTTGTGACCCTCCTTATTCCCGGATTATAGAGTGAATACTACGAAGGAGGGATGTACTACGTTGGTGGGTTGTTCGGCAATAGTGACGCATAAGATTGTTCATGATCTATTTGCGCGAGAATTGGCTGGCTAAGACGTGGTCGCAAGTGTCCTTGATCAGGAATGGATGGATGAGCGCTGTTGCGTGCCAGCGGTTTCTGTGAATCTCTCAATCGCTCTCCCTTCTTCACCCCAGTTCGATAGTGTATGTAGGTGCACCCAACAAACCAAGACGAGCCCAACCAGCAGCCAGTACTTTTGAGGCATCTACAAATTTTCTTACTGTCCATTGTCAGGGTTCCGTAAATAGTGCACCAGAAATTTTTTTGTAGTGGCTCAGCGCCCTACTGGAGGCGGCTATGTTCAGATTCATCCTGTGCCAAGCGTAACCATCTAATATCAACGGTCACCCTTCGGGTGGCAACCTGGATTACCAGACTACCGTTCTTGTCTGTCAGTATCCCACAGCGATATTTTTCTATCAGTCCTAATCAGATTCGTCTCGAACAGCGATCTCCGATGTGTAGAAGACGCCGTCTCTGTTCTCTCAGTGATGGTTTCTTTGGTTTCAACCCCATAGGATTGGTCATTGGACCTTGGATTCCACAAAAATTGACTTCCGGATTTCTGGATTTCATGATCACAAAGTCATCCGGACTTTATACTTGGGGGACAGAAACACGGAAAACAGTTGTAGATTTTGTCTTCGACTAGCACGGATTGGCTGTGTGTTTTTACGCTACATCGTCCAAACCCTTGAAACTGAACGAACGTTGCAGCGTTTCTCACCTCCTCCCCGACAGCTCATGCGTAGACCATCGACATCAGCAATCGCATTTAAAATCTGGGCCAGTTTACTCTGTTGATGTCCAGATCACCTTTTGCAAGCTTCCCGCGCAATCAGCTGATTAGCTGGTTGAACTGAAGTGCAACGAAGGGAAGGCCTGACTGTCTGACGAGACGTTTGACACATTGCGTATATTGACCAAAGCACGCTTATTGCGTGACCGCATCGAACAACGGCGTTTAAAGTAGTTAACCGAAGAGGGCATGCTGTGGGCGGATTATACGGGGACGAAGCGCATAAAACACTTGGCATGCTCTGAGGCGGTATTTGTCAAGCGGAAGCGATTGCATTTCAGCAGTGAGCCGAAAATTCATCTCGATTGCCAAGGCTCTGAACTTTGCGTCTGAAGGTTGCGTTGCCATCACTAGAACCCCCCAAGAACCGTTAAATGAGCGAACGCCGCTCCTGACGATGTGGGAACCGGCCTGATAATGTAATTCGGTGGTTTTATGCAAATCGCGTAGAAAACTGAGCGACAAGTCCAGAACAACAGTACCCCTGTTGTGGTACTGAACGATAATTCCTAAACGTATATGATCGTCGATGAAACAGGCATATTGAGGTTCGGGTCATTTCTAGACTACAGTCTCTGTTCATGGAGATATCCATAATTTGAACTGAAATAGTTTAGAAAGTTTTTAAATGAAGACTCCCAAAGGTATTTGCCACTGTCATTTTAGGGTTTATTCTGACAAAGTCGGCGCAAATAGTACTGTGACCGTTCGATGATATGTGCGTTCTTAGTTTATTTGTTATTTAGAGCGTCTTTACTCGTCACAGCTCGTCTGGTCGTTCATGTCTCTTAATTGTCACCTACAGGAGTCGCTGTGTTTGACTATCCTTTATAGTTGCTCTTAAGTGATTTAGCTTGTTATGGTGGTGCCATGCGCTTGTTTATGTAAAATACGACCTTCGTGACATGAATTTCGTTCTGACTTTTCACGAGTCATGTTACAGTTTGCACGTAATGACAGATCTCTGCTGCGACACTGTCGCAAGTATATTTTTGAGGCTGTTTAGTTGTTTTCGAAACCATATCTCATTAGTAGTTTGCCTTCGTAGCTGCAAAGTGGTGAATTTGAAATTCAGAATGTGAAACGGTGTGACAACTGTCATCTGTAAGTTTAGGAATTCTGGTCGCCAGATGCGCCGATTCGCCTGACGATCATTATGTTGGTCGAGCAGTTGGCGATGGCTCTGGGCTCAGAGTTCAAGCCGTACGTCGCCGAAATCATTCCGCCAATGTTGCGAGTTTTCGTGCACGACAGTAGCGATGGTTTGGGCGTCACCGCAAAACTGCTCGATGCGTTTCAGGCGACGGCGCTCGTTCTCGAGCCGTATTTTCATTTGATCTTGCCGCCGATGCTGAAACTATTTTACCGACCGAACGTCCCTCTGATAGTGCGAAAGTAGCGTCATCGAGCGAACGTTTCAATCTGCTCACTTACCTTTTGTCCTGTTTTTCAGACTGGCCATTGACACTGTCGATATACTCGGAGAAAACATGTCACTGAGCAGTTACGCCTCGCGGATTATGCAAGCAGTGATTCGTGCGCTTGATCTGGTACCAGAGTTGCACGTAAATGCCATGAATCTAATATGTACGTTGGTCATTCATATGGGTTCTGGGTTTCTGGTGTTCCGCACAGTGGTGGACTCGGCGATGACGCGCAATCACATAGTGCTTCCGCGCTATGAAGCTCTTATTAACAGAGTTTTACAGGTTCAGCGTGCATCCTGACCAGAATGGTCAAAATTTTGTCATTGTCGGTCGTTTCGCTTTCTTTCTAGGGCGTCAGCGTAGACCCTCTTAAAGACGTGTATTACCGAAAGAAGATCAGAGAGCGCCACGAACGAATCGTGCGTGAACAATTAATGGCCGAAACCGAATTAAAAAATGCGCCATGCAACTATATGTGCTTGCAGAAGGTAGTCATGCAGCATCTGTGGGCTATTTTTTAGCTGCCAGTATTCTTTTCATGTTCTGGTAGGCATGGGACGTCAGCCGGTGTGTATCAAAGGACGACTGGATAGACTGGTTGAATCGCTTCAGCATCGAGCTACTGAAAGAATCGCCTTTCCCGGCGCTACGTGCTTGTCACTCGGTGGCACAGAACTACTATCCTCTGGCCAGGCGAGTGTTAATGGCGCTTGCTTTGCCCTCTCGCTCGTCGTAATTCATTAACGATTTCAGCGACCTGTTCAATCCCGCGTTTGCTTCATGTTGGACAGAACTACCTGACAATTACCAGAACGAACTGACGATGTCATTGCAGCAAGCCCTGTCATGCGATGGCTCACCGGAAATCACACAGACGATTCTAAACCTGGCTGAGTTCCTCGACCATTCAGACAAAGTATTGTCGGTATGCTGAGAACGCAAAGTGATATCTTTGCGCGTTCTAGGGTGCGCTGCCGGTCGACAGCAAACTGCTCGGTCGCAAGGCCATTGAAACGCGCGCATACGCGAAAGCGCTTCGCTACGAGGAAAATGAATTCCTGCATGAAGGAACTCCAGAAATTTTGGAGTCACTCATTAGGTTTGATTTCACGGCTCAACGCTTTCAGTGTTTCTTCATTTTTAGCAACAACTGCTTTTTAGCATCAATAATATGCTACAATTGCAAGAAGCGTCGATTGGCGTCGTCGAGTATGCCCGCAAAAAAGATATAAAAGTTTCAGTAAGTTGTTTTTACTTTCGCTGTTGAGAAAGGCGACGATTGTTTGACTGTAGATCAAAGAACGGTGGTACGAAAAACTGCATGATTGGGAAAAAGCTTTGGATGCATACGAACGAAAGCAGGAAATGAATGCGAATGACATGGAGTTGACGTTGGGCAGGATGCGCTGCCTGGAGGCTTTAGGCGACTGGTAAGCGATTAATGAAGCCTCGTGCACGTTTGAACGCGTGTCAATGCCGATTAACTTTTTTTTCACAAGTGTTAATTTACGAATACTTAAATTCTATATTGTGTTGTTCAGGTTTTGCATTAGTGACAG